TAAAAGTCTGCTACTTTTTTAGATTTAAATTGTCTCGTACGTTTTGTCCCCTTTCACTCGCCGGGCGAGCACGCGCCGTAACTAGATCCACGGACGACTGACACTTTGCAGAAAAAGACCCACCCATTTCGTTCACCGATGTAATAGAATTACAAGCGATTCAGCGAAATATCTGTATGTCCCGAACAACGGTCGATTCAGAGGGAAGGGGGGAAAGAGAGACTCGGTAAGGTACATCCGCATATCCGCGTTTGCGAGCGCATTTTAGGTCTCGCGACACGTCCGCGCGTGCAAAGATTGCTGATGCAAGAACGTGGAAAATCCCCGCTGAGTAATACCGATGAAATTTCGGACGAGCGTAATTACCGGTTACGTGGAATTAAATTTTGCGAAAGGCTGCCGCAGTAACGCAAGTTTGCCACGCGGTAAGTAATTCTCTCGCAAAGTCGATTCTACGTGCGAAGCAAATTACATTCGCATTGTCGCGTGAAAGTATTTCCGTGTCAAGGATAATTCTTCGCTATGTGCGATCTCTCGATAATAAACTGCGTAAGTCGAAAAGTAGTAAGACGTACAGCGATAAGAACAGTAATGAGATCAAGAATTTTCTTTTTCGTTTCGGAAGTTTTCATTTATATCTTAATCCTTTATTTGAAAAATATATATATGTATATATATCGGCGAAGCCAAGAAAACTTGTTTCAAGATTTTAATGTTGTTAGATCTCTAACATCAATCCCCTCTGTCTAATATCAGGTATTCTACCCTTGGATTCGCCAATACCTCTCGTCTCGTCGTAGGTCAGCTTCCCTCCCCGACGTCGAAGACGCGGGCGCTTCACGGAGAGCCGCAAGCGTGCCCTCCGTGGGGCCCACATTCCCCGCCGAGCGTGCCCGAGCGCGATTTATGCGACTGGAAAATACCTCTCTCGGAGGCTGAGGCTGACTACAACCATTATTTGTTCTAGTTCGCCGTCGTCGCGGTGCACAGTCGCCCGATTTCTCGTTTACCTCGTGCGCAACCTCCCATCCATCCCTCCCGCCTTCCCTACGTGCCCCCTCGCGACCATTTTCTAACCAGACCCTGGACCCCACCTCTTCCCCGGTTGGCCTCGAGCAACCATCCGCGACCTCCCCATCCTCCTTCTCCTCCTCCACTTCGTCCTTCTCCTTCTTCAACCGTATCCTCCCTACGCGTTTCGCATATCCCCGAAACCTCTCTCCCCGTCTCCCAACCCCTATTTTCCTCCGTCCGTCATCTCCCTCCTCTATCCGCGGCTTCTCTCTCTCTCTCTCTCTCTCTCTCTCTCTCTCTCTCTCTCTCTCTCTCTCTCTCTCTCTCTCTCTCTCTCTCTCTCTCTCTCTCTCTCTCTCTCTCTCTCTCTCTCTCTCTCTCACCACCCTCCGTCTCCAACCCCCTCGGCGCGCCGACGTAGCCTCGGCGCTACGTCTATTTATCCACCTAGCGGTATGATATTACACCCCGGGGCACACTTTGGGGATTTCCCCCACCCCCGTCGGAGAGCAGAGCGGAGAGTCGAGGGTGCCCCCCTCGGAGCCACGCCCAATCGCGAGCCGGCAGTCGTGCACCGTTTCCGGCTGTTTCCAGAGCCGAGTCCATTGGCCCGCGCTGACTTTGCGTCATCGCCACCCCGTCGTACGCCGGCACCGCGTGCGTTTCACGGACGACGAGGCTCTCTCGGTACCCGCCGCCGCGACTCCGCGGACGAAGGGGGTAGGGAGGAAAGATAGGGAGAATCGCGCGACGAAGAGGGTGTTGAAATTTAGAAGGCTTCATTTGGTCCATTCTTCGGCCGTCGCGGCGCAGCAAACTGTCGCAGTTACGGCGCTTATACTTGAATTCTTCCTTTCTCTCCCTCGCTTTCACCCTTCGCATCCCTCTCTCTTTCTCCTCTCTCTCTTTCTCTCTCTCTTCCGTTTTCTTTCTTTTACTATCTTTCCTCGCTCTCGGCGAGCCAGCGGATTTCCTACGAAAAATCTCTGCCCGCTCGCGATATTGGATTCTTATGCGAAGTACGTTCCGATTTTATACACGTATTACCAAATATTTTATTACGAAATATTTTTGCACGCAGAATAGCGCGCGTTTTCCTTACACCCAATACGATCTGATCAAACCTTGAGAATGCGTTATTCTTTAATTTTCAAGGACAATAAGAGTTTCGCTACATTTAACTCTTCAACGTTTAATCGTGAATCGTATTTCCTAACGCAAAATATATAAAATACGTGCATATATTTTATTTGTTTTACTCTGCCGCTCATCTATTGTTTATATCCCATTATGTCTTCGTTAGTATGATATCTTCTATTTACCATATTTTATTTATAATTCAATTTAATTCTTAATTATTATACAAACAATAAACATTCTGTGATATTCAATTCAAAACTTGTGCAAGTCAAGAAGAAATTTAGATCTTCATAATCATTATATTATAATATAAAATATATATATAAATGTCAAATTAATTCCGTATGATAAAAGCTTTTCATGGATATAATGAAACTTTCCTCACTTTTATAGTTACTATGCTGAATCACAAAAAAATCTCGGATCATCGATTAGATTATAGACAATATTGAAGCGACGGTAAGGCGATAGCAAATACCGCAAATCTGGGTTAAAAGGGCGACCTCGATGGCTTTTGTAGATCCGAGAGAGAGAGAGAGAGAGAGAGAGAGAGAGAGAGGGTTTAATGCAGAGTTCCCGCCGTTCTCGGAGTACGTTGAGTGCCGCAGATGACGCAAACTCGTTTGCAAGATATTCTTCCAGCATTCGTAAGAAGCATTCTTGAAAAACACACGCTCTAACAGCCCGGCCGTCCTACTCGCGGATAAGTTATGAGAAAGGAGAAAACTAACGCGGGCTTCCGTAGTGCGCATAAGTACGGTAAACAATTTGTACAAAGGAATCCGGAAATGGCACACGTGGAATTCAATTTCTTTTTTTTTTTAACTTAGCGCTCGTCGATCTTTTCAAAAGACATCTCGGTATATATTTCGTTGACGATTTTTCTCTTTTACTCTCCGATATTCGCATCTCGCAATAAAATATAGACAAAGTGTCGGATAGAAAATTTAAATCTTGTTGGTAAAAATTTGCTATATAGATTTCTCATGCTCGGGAAGAGTGTGTGAGAAATCAAACGAGAAGTAATAAGTAGTATGGATTTATTATTAATTCACGTAAGTCTGAAGAGCCAATTTCTCCGCAACGAAATCTTCTCTCCCGCGCGTTATACATGGCAATATCTAAAAGCCAAATGAAACGAAAAAAGGGCTTCGATCCAATATTCAAACTGACGGTAACGCTGTTCCGTTTAACTTTGCACGGCTGCAAAAGTTTCAGTTTCGGGAATGTATAATATGTAAAGTGCACTACGCGAAAAGCAATTAGAATAAAAAAATGCACTAAAGTTGAAAATAATATCAAATATAGAGTTGCAACAATATATAATAATTATATGCTTCATCAAGATATGCTATGTGTGTTTTTAAACTTCCTATCTCCCTCCCTTTGCTACACAGAGTGAAATTAATCCATCGTAGAAAGACAAAACACTCAAATGTAGATGTAATGCTTCTATATATATTTAATTCTACGGTCTATAATTAATTTTGTAATTGCGGTGTATTGTTTCTTTAAAAGAATGTAAAATGTAGAATAATATACATTGTACATCCTTCTATGTAACGAGATTATAAGTAATTCTAAAAAGCTAATTTTTTCTCTTAATATAGAATAATACAATAAAATAATATACTAATATAATATTGTTTTTCGTGATTGAATATAAATACACGTAACGACAATTTTGCAATCATTATACGATTGTTACGAGGTTTCGAGTTTTTCAAAGCGAAGAAGAATCAATTTCGCGAAATATCTTTTCGTCGATAGATCAGAGAAATTCCTGCAGCTTCGAATTTCAGGGCAACCCGTCAAATTAAACGATCGTGAAATCAAAGAGAAAATACGGAGTACCTTCCTTTACAGTCGTTACTCTCGTCCCGTCCGATCGGGGCAAATTCCATGCAGTGCAGTGCGCCGCGCAAAAGTACGCGCACGAGTATTTAAATACTTATTCCCTGTCGCGTCGTGGCGTCGTTCAGCCTCCGGGAAAGCGCGCGGCGGCGGCGGGCGGGGGTAGCCCGCGCGCTAATAGCCCACACGAGCAATTAAACGCGGCGAATACCATAAATACACGTCATTAACTCGTCGCTCAAAGAGTTTGCCGGGCGCGCGATTAGGTCCTTAGAAGGCCCAGCGCGCGCCATTCATTCGGCGAGGGATGACTCTCCCCTTCCCCCCTCCCCTCCCTCTCGCTCCCTCTCTCTCGCCCCTCGCCGAGGCCGAGGCGCAATTTTCGAGTCTTTTCTTCGTCCGTGTATTAGCTTACTGTGATCGAAGTTCGCTCTTCCGCGCTTTACGCCACTTTCTCGCGACGCGGAGGATATCGAGGACGATTCTTGGGCCACGTGGCAAACTTCCGGGAGAAGTTGTATATGAAAAAAAAAGTGGCGAGACGGGTTAATTACAACTCCCCCTCCCTCCCCCTTCTATCACCCCGCCCCGGATAGATTAATGAAAATCTCTCGCGAGAATGGTCGGCGATCTACCGTTTTCGAAGTTTCTGCATGTAAACATCGTGTCTACCTTATCAATCTGTTACAATAAATAATCCGCGTAATTGCAATAATTTCGTCTCTCCGTCAAGTCACATCTCGATCTATCGGAAAATATATATTTTTTCTTGTCGGAGATACTTTTTTGGTTAAGTTAATTTCGTATATAATAGGAGTATCCAGAGATACAATAATCTTAGTGGAGATAATCGGGGACACGAAATTCGTAGGTCTGCTACGAATTTGAACGTTAAATTTGACTGTACATAATTTTATTCTTTCTGTATCATATTTCGATAGGCGCATATTTTTCCGCAAGCAAAAAGAATCTTACCTTGCAAGAAGTAGCGAAGTAGCCGCCAGTAGCCGCGAATCCGTAGACCCTCCATCCTCCGCGTAATTGCAATAATTTCGTTTCTCCGTCAAGTCACATCTCGATCTATCGGAAAATATATATTTTTTCTTGTCGGAGATACTTTTTTGGTTAAGTTAATTTCGTATATAATAGGAGTATCCAGAGATACAATAATCTTAGTGGAGATGATCAGGGACACGAAATTCGTAGGTCTGCTACGAATTTGAATGTTAAATTTGACTGTACATAATTTTATTCTTTCTGAATCATATTTCGATAGGCGCATATTTTTACGCAAAAAGAATCTTACCTTGCAAGAAGCGAAGTAGCCGCCAGTAGCCGCCAGTAGCCGCTAGTAGCCGCGTTCGCCGCGAATCCGTAGACCCTCCATCCTCCGCGTAATTGCAATAATTTCGTCTCTCCGTCAAGTCACATCTCGATCTATCGGAAAGTATATATTTTTTCTTGTCGGAGATACATTTTTGGTTAAGTTAATTTTGTACAATAGAAGCATCCAGGGGTACAATAATCTTGGTGGAGAGGGACACGGAATTCGTAGGTCCGCTACGAATTTTGTACGTTAAATTTGACCGTACATAATTTTATTCTTTCTGAATCATATTTCGATAGCCGCATATTTTTCCGCAAAAAGAATCTTACCTTGCAAGAAGCGAAGTAGCCGCCAGTAGCCGCGTACGCCGCGTTCACCGCGAATCCGTAGACCCTCCGTTTTCCTCCAGACGCGCTCCGTTTTCGGTCGCAGCCGAGACCTCGGAGAGCCGCATCCTCCCGGAATTTCCTCCGTCGAACACTGTCGAGGACGACATCGAGGATGAATTCGTCACTTCGGCTCACTTCTACGCGATTTTACGAACGGGAGGACGCGAACTTTTGTTCGAAACGAGCCACCGAGCGGCCGCACACTTCACGCGCGCAAAAACAAAATGGACACTGTATGATACATCGAGAGCCATCTGTGAGACGCTCGCGTAACTGCGTAACACCGCGACGGTCGCGAATTGAAAGATGGCGGCGCCCTCGGTCGCGGACGGCGCGGCGGTCCAAAGAGGTTATGTATGAATACACACGGCGGTCGCGGTATTATTAGCCTAACCTTCTCAGCGGCTGAGTGAAAAAAAATTCCATTGTCGCGTCCGAAATTATTAATAGTGATGCGTCGTCGCGAATTCAATAAACGCGAGACACACGCCGGTGTATAATTAATACGTGTTAATTTAATTTAATAATACAAATTATTATATGTACATATTATAAGAATCATGTCTGTGTTACGTGCTGCATTATTCACTTGTCACAATGTCTCTATTATTTCAAGGTAATTATGAATTATTTCGTTCTGTTCGAGAAAATTATATCGCATGAATTTTCAAAGAGAAAATATCGCGAGTACAAAAATGTATAAACATATATGATGTATAAAAATTCTACACCTTAAGATTACATTCAATTTAACGATAGGCAAAAATTACCAACTTATTTCGATAGTACTATTTGTTGAATATAATAAAAATTTGCATTGAATTAATTTCAGGTATTCCTTGCAGAAGTGCGTTCTGCAAGGGAGGAGCCAAAGCGTTTGGGGAGCGGCGAAGCGTGAATTTAGTAAGGTCACTCGAAGATGTGCCGAAGAAAATGTAAACGAGCGGAAGCTTACCACGTACATTCTGAAATTTGGCTTCAGCGGGCTTGGAGTAACAGCCGCTTGTATTTTAAAGTCACGTAATCGAATTGTGCTTTGTAAAGAAGCTACAAGGATAAGCGACGTAAGTCCGGACAAGCCGGATAATCCTGAACTGACCTTTGATTGGACGAAATTTTTTCAATATCTGTATCCACATATCTGGTATTTGTTAGTGGCGCTGTCAGTAAGTATATATTTATAGATATACAAAAAAAAAAATAATTCCGTTGTTGCGAACGACATGCTGAGACAATCCGTGCTTTTAGAGTGCATTGATAGTTGCACTGTTGAACATACAAATACCTCAGTGCGTCGGAGGTGTCATAAATGTGCTGACGGAGATATGTCAGAATAGGAACGAATCCGCGAAACAAGTCATTTTGCAGCTTACTCAACCGGCCTTCGTTCTGGCACGCATGTACCTTGCGCAAGTACGTAAAAACAATTACAATATATATATGTTCTTTAACATCTCTGTGAGACTCCACACTCGTTTCTGATATTCTGATATTTGTCTTTCAAGGCATTTTTCACCTTTATATACATTTACACTCTTTCGCACGTCGGTGAAAGGGTTGCCGTGAGCCTACGTCAGGATTTGTTCAAGTCTATTATTACGCAAGACGTAGCGTTTTTTGACAAAACGCGCTCTGGTGAAATAGTAAGTCGATTGACCAGTGATATCCAAGATTTTAAGAGCTCCTTTAAAATCTGCATTTCCCAAGGGTTGAGGAGCATCACGCAAATTGTCGGTTGCATCGTCTCTGTAGTAGTGATATCGCCGCACCTGACCACCCTTGTGGTGTTCAGCTTGCCACCGATAATCTTTGTCGGCACCCTCCTGGGACGAAGTTTGCGCAAGCTGTCGACGGAGGCGCAAGATCAAGTCGCAAAGTCTACTGCCGTCTGCGAGGAAGCTATACAGAACATCCGAACGGTACTATTTTAGAAAAACAAATAATCGAACACATTAAAAAGGTATTCTATAAAAATTGCAATGTCACACCTTGCGTCTCCCCCCTTTTTTTTCATCAGGTGAGAGCTTTCGCCGCAGAGGAGAAAGAGGCGGAAATGTTTTACAAAGAGATCGAATATTCGGCCGATCTGTACGAACGATTAGGCTTCGGCATAAGCTTCTTTCAAGCGGGAACGAATTTACTGCTAAACGGCATTTTACTGTCCACGCTGTACTTCGGTGGACAGTTACTCTCCACGGGGCAGTTGTCTCCGGGAAATCTCATGGCGTTTTTAATGGCCACGCAAACCATACAGAAGTCCTTAGGCCAGTTGTCGGTGCTTTTCGGGACCTTCGTCAGGGGGCAAAGCGCAGGGGCTAGGATTTTCCAGGTAATTTCATTTTAATTACATTGCATTCATTGCAATTTTACTCCCAAATTAAAAACTTATAGATACTATTATATTATATTATAGATACATATGATATAGATAGATACTATAATTGTAGACTATATACTATAATTATAATTATAATTATATTAATTACAAGGCTTTTTTCGCCTTCGCGGCAAATATAGATACTGAATTTTATTGATAGATACTAAACTAGATAGATACTAAATTTCATTTTAATTACGTTGCATTTATTGCAATTTTACTCCTAAATTAAAAACTTATAGATACTTTTATATTATAGATACATATGATATAGATAGATACTATAATTATAATTATAATTATATTAATTACATTGCATTTATTGCAATTTTACTTCCAAATTAAAAACTTATAGATATATACTATTATATTATATTATAGATACATGATATAGATAAATACTATAATTATAAACTATATACTTAATTATAATTATATTAATTTAACACAGCTTTATTTCAGTATCTAGATATGCCGCCTTCGCCAATGATGACCGGTGGTGACGTAATCGCGGACATGTCTCTGGCGGGGAATATAGTTTTCAAAGACGTGAACTTCAGCTATCCCACTAGACCCGATCACGTCATTTTGAAGAACTTCAATTTACACATTCCCGCTGGGAAAACCGTGGCTATCGTCGGCACTAGTGGCAATGGCAAATCGACAGTGGCTGTATTACTAGAAAGGTACGGCAGACTCACGTGTATTTTACTTGAGAGGTTTAAAGATTTATACGTAAAAAAAAACTTTACAGATTTTACGATGTTGACGGAGGCTCCATTACGATTGACGGTCGAGATATCAGATCCCTCAACTCGAGCTACCTCAGAGGCAACGTTTTGGGCTATATAAATCAAGAGCCCACTTTATTCGCCACCAGCATTATGGAAAACATTAGGTACGGCAGACAAGACGCAACGGATGAAGAGGTAAAAGCGAAAAGTATTGATGAATCAATTATGACTACGGCCGTACAAAGTGTTTTACGTAATTTAATTAAATAATAATTTAATTCAATTTCGAGGTCATCGAGGCAGCTAAAGAAGCGAACGCGCACGAGTTTATAACGAAGTTCCCGGACAGTTACGCGACCGAGGTTGGCGAGAGAGGCACGCAGCTCTCCGGTGGACAAAAGCAGCGGGTTGCCATCGCCAGAGCCTTGTTGAAACAACCGTCCGTTTTGATTCTGGACGAAGCAACGAGGTAGGGATAGACGGGGGCAAGGAGATCACGTGAGATTTGTCTTGGTGCTTATCTATCCGTTTCGCCTGTTTAGCGCGTTGGACTACGAGAGTGAGAGGGTCGTTCAAAAGGCGATCGAAAATGTTACGAGAGGCAGAACGGTTCTTGTGATCGCTCACAGGTTGAGTACCATTAAAGGAGCTGACGTAATCGTCGTGTTACAACGCGGTGTCATTGTGGAGGTGTGCTTTAATCGATGAAATTAACGTCTCCGTATACAGATATATATAATGTACAAAAATAATACATTTTTTTCTCCTTAGATGGGCACGCATTTGGAATTGATTAAACGGAAAGGAGTATATTACACGCTCGTTAACGAGCAGGAAAAAGAGAACATGTAATAATGGGATTTAGAACAAATTATATTAGTACAAACGATTGATGTGAATCGGTAAAAGGGTAGGTGCATTACTTATTACTATATTTCTTTCCCGTTTTGTAAAATAACTTTCTCCTCGTACCTCGACGTATGTACGTAAGAAAATGGATTTACGGTATCATGTAAATTGCTCACGTCTACCTCAGAAACGGGAATCACATTACGGAACGTAATAAATTATTTTATCTACGTATATTCGCATTACATGCACGTATACATACACCTTTCATCGATTGTATAGTGACGATTAAAGTATATAATTTATTTATGAATGCATTTGAGGTATATTATTTGTTTACAATTAGTAATCTTATTCAGTGAGAGGAACGGGAGATGCTTCCGTGCTATCCTTACCATTTTGCATCGCTAAATCTGTGTCTGAATGTGTGATAGGTGGAGGCGTGGAAGGTACTGTAGTTGCGATGTCCGTCGGTGCGGTTTCTTCTTCCGGAACCAAAGTGGATCCCGTCGTCGGTGTCGAGTATAAATCGTCAGTGTTCTCGGGTGAATACCGTGCAGAGACGCTCTCGACTCCACCCGGCGTAGATAAGCTGGCGTCAGCAGGTTCACTGTCTGTCGAAGGAACGGCCTCGGATAATCCGTCCGTGGCAAGCTGCTCGACAGCTGCTGCTTGTGGCGGCAAAATCGACGGAGAGGATACATCGGAATCGTCATTCCTCGGGCTGTCTGCGATCGCCGGTGTATCGTTTAACGCTGATGCTAGATTCGGATCAATTACTTCGGCGTTGGAACTCGGTAACGTTACTGCTCCGCCATCATGTTTCCCGTACACTTCTGTAGCTTCATTCTGTATCTCTTCATCTAATTTCGATGACGTGTCGTTAATTGCAGAGGATTCTAATACTCTACTCAATGTTGGGTCAATCGAGTCTGAATTGAAAGCCGGTGCGCTGTCCCCGTTGTTTTTATACTGTTCCGTAATCGCATCCTGTACTTTTTCATCTACATTCGGCGACGTGTCGCTAATTGGAAGGGATCCCGGTACATTACTTGCTGTTGGTGTCGGGAACGGCTCGATCGAATCTTCGTTGGTTTTATATTGTACCGTAACTGCATCTTGCGTCTTTTTATTTATATTCGGCGACGTGTCGCTGATTAAAGATTCTGGTATATTACTTATTGTTGGCGCCGAGTGCAGATCAGTATTGAAATTCGATGGCGTCACTGCGCTGTCTTCATTATTTTTATATTCGGCAGCTGCATCTTGCATTCTTTCGTCTATATTCGGCGACATGTCGCTGATTAAAGAAGACTCTGGTACATTACTTATTGTTGGTGCCGAGTGCAGATCAACCGAATCAGTATTAAAATTCGATGGCGTCACTGCGCTGTCTTCATTATTTTCATATTGTTCGGTCACTGCATCTTGTATTTTTTCATCCATATTCGGCGACATGTCGTTGATCAAAGAAGATTCTGGTACATTACTTATTGTTGGTGCCGAGTGCAGATCAACCGAATCAGTATTGAAATTCGATGGCTTCGCTGCGCTGCCTTCTTTGTTTTTATATTGTTCCGTAACTTCATCTTGCATCTTTTCATCTATACTCGATGGCATGTCGTTGATTATAGAAGATTCTGGTACATTACTTATTGTTGGTGCCGAACGCAGATCAGTATTAAAATTCGATGGTGTTACCACGCTGTCTTCATCATTTTTATATTGTTCGGTAGCTTCTTGAATTTTTTCATCCATATGCGGCGACATGTCGTTGATCAAAGAAGGTTCTGGTACGTTACTTATTGTTGGTGCCGAGTGCAGATCAACCGAATCAGTATTAAAATTTGATGGCGTCACTGCGCTGTCTTCATTGTTTTTATATTGTTCCGTAACTTCATCTTGCACCTTTTTATCTATACTCGATGGCATGTCGTTCATTAAAGCAGATTCTGGTATATTACTTATTGTTGGTGCCGAATGCAGATCAGTATTGAAATTCGATGGTGTTGCCACGCTATCCTCATTATTTTTGTCTTGTTCGGTGGCTGCTTCTTGAATTTTTTCATCCATATTCGGCGACATGTCGTTGATCAAAGAAGGTTTTGGTATGTTACTTATTATTGGTGCCGAGTGCAGATCAACCGAATCAGTATTAAAATTTGATGGCGTCACTGCACTGTCTTCGTTGTTTTTATATTCCGTAACTGCATCTTGCAGCTTTTTATCTATACTCGATGGCATGTCGTTCATTAAAGCAGATTCTGGTATATTACTTATTGTTGGTGCCGAATGCAGATCAGTATTGAAATTCGATGGTGTTACTACGCTGTCCTCATTATTTTTGTCTTGTTCGGTAGCTGCTTCTTGAATTTTTTCATCCATATTCGGCGACATGTTGTTGATTATAGAAGATTCTGGTACATTATTTATTGTTGGTACCGAATGCAAATTAACTAAATCTGTATTGAAATTCGATGGCTTCGCTGCGCTGCCTTCTTTGTTTTTATATTGTTCCGTAACTTCATCTTGCATCTTTTCATCTATACTCGATGGCATGTCGTTCATTAAAACAGTTTCTGGTACATTAGTTATTGTTGGTACCGAGTGCAAATCAGTATTAAAATTCGATGGTGTTACCACGCCGTCTTCGTTATTTTTATATTGTTCGGTAGCTGCTTCTTGAATTTTTTCATCCATATTCGGCGACATGTCGTTGATTATAGAAGATTCTGGTACATTACTTATTGTTGGTACCGAATGCAAATTAACTAAATCTGTATTGAAATTCGATGGCGTCGCTGCGCCGTCTTCGTTGTTTCTAAATTGTTCTGTGGTAACGTCTCGCGTTTTTTCATTTATCGTGGACAATACATCGCTAACTGGTGGGATTTCTGGTGCATTACTCATCGTCGATGCCGCGTCAATCGGTTCGCTATTGAAATTCGGTAACGTTACTGCGCTGTCTCCGATATCTTTGTTGTACCGTTCTGTAGCTGCATCCTGTGCTCCCTTACCTAATTTTGATAAGATGTAGCTGCCTGAACAGAACGGCGCGGCATCAGTTGTTTCACTGTCAACGTCGGCATTTGTACGATACTCCGGTTCGATTGGAGTCGTAGAAGTGGAATGCGACGTGTCTATCATCGATGGTGATGCAGTTCGCAAACCTATTAGTGACAGCGATCCGTCCTCCTCGTTCTGTCCTTCGTCCGACACTTTTTGCACGATTTCAGGCGGATCCGGGACTCGGCTGTGCATTATCTTTTCGTCGATATCATCCAAAACGAAATCTTCGTTCAATTTCGCGCTGTTACCCGTTACGTCCGTATCGCTGTCATTATCGTTATAATTATTCTCCGACGGGGCACTTATTACGCTTACAGGGGTAGAAATGGTAATGTCGTCGTAAGTCTTGGAATTTACATTTTCCTCCTTTTCCACAGTGGGATCGCCTGCGCCGGCTTGACTTTCCTCGAGTGTCTCGGGGATTTCTTTCAGATTTCCTTCTGCAGCCCCACTTGGAGATTCCACATTCTCGCCCGGCGCATCCGGAACACAGACTGTGGTGTCCACCGAGTTGTCGTTCACGCAGTCTGGCACGGCGTTGCAAACTCCCCTGTCCACCTCGTATCCCGTGTTCTGCGGACACTTGAAGACGCTCTGGTGGAGCCGATGACCGTTCGTGTCGCACGTGTAAAACATGGAGCAGTGGCCGGGCACGGGGAATCGACCGGACCTCGTGCAACTTGGCATCGTCACCTGACCGTAGTACATGTAGTCGTCCGGTGGAATAATTTTGGGAGTCAGTTTGCTCGAGTCGTAGTAGGCGCACCGCTGCAGGCGAGCGTCGAAGATCTGCCTGCTCGCGCACTGCGCCAGGATCGACTTGTCGCGCTTGCAGATGTGGTAATACAGAGAGCTTCTGCAATGCGGCCTCAGGACGTTGACGCCGCACGACCGTCTGTTTTCAACGTGGAGCACCTTGCCGCCTCCTGGCACGCCCAGGCAACGTCCTTCCTCCTGATCATAGTACTGATTGAACTTGCAATAATGTATTGTTCGTCGATGCCGGATTGTCTGCAGTTTCACAGCGTTTTCTTCGATATTGTCGGCGTACTGCAAAATTGATTTTTCTAATGTAAAGATTAATAGTAAAACAGGTACAATATATATTTGATAAAATTTACATTTCATTTGAAACATAAATGTAAATATATAGAAAAGAAAGTGCATTTTTAATTTATTTTTTTAGTACACTTTGATATTTAAATATATATTGCTTGTTAAGTTTCTTTTGTAATGTAAAGCTTTAAATTTAATTTCTTGTAATCTATAGCATTATCTCATTCTTAAAAATTAGACGTAGATGATGAATAGATACGTGGATAATGAAATTGCTTACTCCAGAAAGAAAGTATATTTGTAATTTATTTTTTTAATATACTTCGATATTTAAATATTGCTTCTTTATAAAACAAATCTTTATAGAATAAGTTTCTTTTGTAAAGCTTTAAATTTAATTTTTTATAATCTATAGCATACATTATCCCATTCTTAAAAATTAGACGTATAGATATGCGGATGAAACTGCTTACTCCAGAATCGTTTGATGAAAAATGTACTATCGCAATTAATAGTACAATTCCGAGCGGTAAAAGTAGAAGCAGGATCTTCCTGGTTGAAGTCATCGTACGGAGCGGCTCGTTTCGCAACGATGCGTCCTCCAGATTTAATAAATCGCGTCTGTCTTTTCAACTCTCGCGAAACGACAACTTTAAACGAGCTCGCCACGGAGAGAAGGAGAGAGAGAGGCGCGGATTTATATAATTTCATATCGAAAACGTGCCGGTTAACATAATACATAAATGCGAAATGGCAAACGTGATGACATCCTCGGTCGGGCATTCGTCTTAGGATTTCCGGGAATGCGAGATGTTCGTGCGCGAGACGCCGTCGGCGGAGGACCGCGCGCGAAAATAAGGATTAACGGAAGTAATAATAATAATAACGAACGGGCTCTCCCTTATTTTCGCGTTTTTATCAGAGAGGAACGAGAGATTGCGGTAGCAAACGCGCGGGATCGCACGGATCGAATTACGTCGGTACCGACCGACGAGGTGTAGCTTACGTTTTCGCGATAAACCGTTCAAGGCCAGATTTGAGTCATAATCGCGGTATTCGAGAGTACGATTATCAACAATATTTGCGTTCCGAGAAAACCCGGAATTGTAATTGAGAAGCATAATGAATGGACGCTAGGAATCTTAGGAATAAAAAACGAAAGTTTATTACTTAATTATACATCAGCTGGCAATGCCTAAATCAGTAGTAAATATATATACAGTATTTTTCGTTGAGAGACGAATATCTACAAGTTAACGTTCAACTTATCGCATAGAATAGAAATACGGAGAATAATTTATATTGAAATATATATATATAATAACGAAATAGGACTCCATTCTAGGATTTATACATCGTTGCTCGCGACAGAGGCTATTATACAATTATATATATATGTTTTCAGAAAAGTAATTTTTATATGCTTTGGATATACTGTTTTTTTTTCTCTCAGCAGTCGTATTGTGGCACTCTATACGTAAAATTGTTGCTCCTTATGATGTTAATCCCAGCACCATAATATGGCATCACATAGTGCGAACCGTCTGCCGGTCCTACGATTTGCGTGGCTATCAGAATCACGTCGACGAACTGGCCCAGGAAGAGGAACCCCAGGGTGCTCAGCTTGAGCAAACCCAGGGCGGGATATCCCAGATAAAATCGATCCGCGCCGAACATACCAAGAAATATCGACAGCAGTAGGGACGTCTCGAAGGAATATCCATTTCTGAAAGTGACAATTTTAGAGGTGAATGTCCAAAAAATCTTATTTATAATAAACATGAGGCGCTTAATTACACTCGTCTCAAGCGGTGTCTACAATGAGACATAAGATTTAAGGAAAATGATCAATCACAATCGATTATTTTTCTCACGCGAGATGAATAATCGATTACGACTGATCAATTTTCTTAAGTCTTAAGGCTCATTGTAAACGTCGCGAGACACCCAAGAATTACACTTACGTCCATTTGCAAGGTATATCCTTCTTGAACGTGTTATTCTTCGTTTCTATGCAGATGAGGTCATCGGCGGCTAGACATACCACTAGAAAATATAACAAGAGAATCAACGTTAATTTAGTTTCATCGGAATTATAATTCCAAAAATTCCAGCTAGCTATCAAAACCCGTTATTTCCGAATAAGGTAACTGTCCCTATTAGTGTGCCCTATACCTATTAGTGTGCTTTTATATTCAATTAAGTCATAAAAATAAACTGGTACAAATATATAGACAAAGTATTTTTTTTTATTAAGTTACAGTATTAACTTAATAAAAAAAATACTTTGTGTATATATTATTTTATTTATATAAATAAAAAAATACTTTGTCTATATATTTATACAAGTTTATTTTTATAAGTCATAAAAATAAAATAAAATAAATAAAATACTTCATCTATATATTTGTACCAGTTTATTTTTATGACTTATTTAAACATAAAAGCACACTAACAGGGACAGTTACCCTACAATTAGGCAATGTTTACAGCGCAACGCAAGGCAAGGCTCGAAATAATTGAAAAAGCACAAACGAGACAATTATTACGTTTTACTTTTTTCAGAATGCAAGAAAACACGCGTCTCTCTTTATAAACGTATAAAATAACTCGGAGAACGTGAGGGATGCGAAATAACTCGAGGAACGTGAGACGACGAGATTGAGGTTAGGAAAGTCGTAGGTTAGAATCTCACAGGTTTTCCAGGCCGAAACTCCTACCTTTGGCCTTGTTCTCCTTGGTGCAGCCGCGCGGCTGCTGCGTTTTCGGGTCTATGAAATCGTAATCGGGATGCGGACAGATGTACTGCCCCATTCGCAGGTTATTGCAGTCGATCTCGTACGGATCCGCGCCACCGCAGAGCGCGATCGCCGAGAGGACGATGAGCAGCCCGCTGAGAAGTCGCGTCGTACGGGACATGCCGTCTCATTTTACGCGATGTCGTCCCGTTACACACCCGCTAAACCCGCGAACGCGACGAACTGGGACGTCCGCATCCCCGTATTTTGATTGTTTTGAAACTACCCCACACAACTCAACTCAACTCACACCCCACAGCTCTCACACTCTCACTCTCATCATCTGTTCGGAACCCCTGTACACTAGCGCCATTACATCCATTTTTTGAAATGGGTACTACACAGCGTCATTGCATCCATTTTTCGACATTATCGGTAAAATTATAACGTCGAAAATGGATGTATTATAGTTACGTAGTATATTATTTAAAAAAATCAGGGTTGGATAAGTTAATATATATTTTTTAACTAAATTAAGTAAAAATTAACAGTCTTCAAAATTTAATTTAGTTAAGATATAAGTTGAATCCACAATAAAATTAAACGAATTAAAAGTTAAATTAATAAAAAATAAGTAAACCGGGAAAAAAAGTTCCATATATAATTATATATAATTATATGTAAAATATGTCTACATATGTTTCTTTCCTTTGTAAAATTATTTTTTAATACAAAATTGATAATAATAAGAAAGAAACATAAAAAATAATTAAAAGAATTTTTACGTTGTTTTTTTTGCAAAAAATTAAGTTTGAAGAAATAAGAAAAATTGTTCATATATAATTATATATAGATCGGAAGAG